ACCTTCAGAAGTAATAGCCGTGGGTGTGGGGCACATTTTGTATATTCTGAATTTTTATTTCATTTGTCAATCATTTTGAATAGCTGTAGATGTGTCGGCATTTATAAGCCTTCCGCACACGCTTTATTTTCAAACAATAAAATTTTAAGAACTTTTTCTCACTTCATACCAACCTCAGTTTCTTTGGAATAACAACTAGTTGGCCACATTTTGATGCGTCATATTGCTCCATAGGCAAATTAGGAAAATGAAAGTGTTTGCAGAAATCATTGCTACTTTTCCAGTGGTCAGGAAAGAGTTAAGAGAATGGAAAAAAGGGGGACTGCACGGTAATGCCGATATGTGCGTCCACAGCAACGAGGTAGAGGGGCTTAGAGCGATAAACCGGGGTTCCGGTCTGCACTCGAAAGTGACCCCCATAAGGAGGCTGCCATTGTACGCAAATTTGACCACACGTCACATGACCAAACCAAATACGTGACGTCACTGGAAAGATGGCAGCGCCCATGCAGCGGCTGGCCCCAGCTGGGCCGGAGCTTGTCGGATGCTTTGTTGGTTGTCGTTCGTCTCGGCGAGTTGATTTCAGACGCGGAAGCCGTCATATGAGGTCGGTCGAAAGCGAGTTCGTAGTTCAGCGTAGTGTTTGACGTAGGTATAACGTGAAAATACGGAGGAACGGTGTGCATTTCGCTGGTGACCGACCGGGATATTGCCACGGAAGAGACAATCTGACCTACGTTGCTCGGACCTCGGATTGAATCGGATACCGCTAGGATAAAATTTAAGGCGACGTTTCTGTGCTCTCGTTGACCATCGGAATCTTCGAGGTTTGCAGTGAAGCGTGTGCAATATATTTGGATACACAGTTTAGCGACGGAAATTGCGTGAGTTGTGCTTGGCGGTGTGCAATCGCGGTGCAGCTTCGATCAGATGACCGAGGGCTCACTTCGGTTGTGCGGCGCACCGGAAGGCTGCCTTGAAGCTGGTAGTTCCCGTGCCGTGCTAAATGATGCTGTGCTGCTTGCAAATTGTTCCGGCGTAGAAGTGCACTTTCACGGAGCACAGGTGTGCGGCGCACCGAAGAGCTGCCTTTAAGCTGGTAGTTCCTGTGCCATGCTTTAGGTGATGCTGTGCTGCTTCCGAAATTGTTCCGGCGTAGACGTGCACTTTCACGGAGCACAGGTGTTGCAGTTGGTATTGGTCCCGCTGGTCTGTCGCACGTTTCGTCAACACAAACGTTTCATTCACACTCGTTACGCGAATTGCAAGCTGTCCGGACATTTCATCGAGCGTGTTACGTACCCAGCTCACGCCGCTTTGTGGCAACAGTCTGCAGTGGCTCATTACCAGAAAAGTGGCCCCACATCCATTTCAGTTCAGTTCGTACACGGCAGTCGCCAAACCCCGAAGGAGAGGATTTATTCGGACAGAATGCCACTAAAGCAATGCAGCTTCTTCACTGGTCAGGATAGATTCTCTTCTGCGAGTTTTGTTATACTGTCACGGATCCTTGTTCCAGTCCTATCTTCTATCAATATTCGCTATTCTGGGACACTGCAGGTCATGCTCAACTGTAATCGTATGTTCTCTTGGAGGTGCTGGGCACTTTACCCATAGCCCTTCACTCTGTGTGTCAGCCGAGTTACCCGATAATGGGACACGGCTGGCGGACTATTTTGCGTCTTATACCCCCGTCGAGCCGTAAGCAAAGTCCTGACCCGAGCCTGGCAGAACAACCTCAAGACGACCGAGTACCACAAGGAGTAACCTCGGAAATACACCACGAAGCACCTGAAATCCGAGTCAGTTGCTGCTACCAGGAAAAACCACCGGAATCCGGTCTCCTGTCTGAAAATCCGAAGCTTACTAAGCCAACAATGACAAACCTGTAGCAGCGAACCGTGTCCCCTCCCACCATTGTTTGCATGCCCGTCGCAAATCACACTCCAACGCTTTTTCACGCAAGCTGTATGAAGACGTCAAGGACTGGATTGAACAATATGACAGTGTCACCCGCCACATTGGGTGGACAGACAACCAGCTCCTGCAGAACCTTACTTCTCGTGGAAGAAACTGCCGGCGCTGGTCTGAGAACCATAGATCCTCCTTAACGTCATGGGAAGTTTGCAAGATCGAGCTGAAGCACGCATTCGTCAGCCAACATCAACGAGAGAGAGCCGCATTCTTGATTCTGTCCAGGACACTGCCCCAACGAGAGCGCCACCGCACTCGTAGAGGATGTTTTGCGCTTGATCGAGCGCCCACGCCTACGCCCACGCCGACCTTGATGCTACAGAAGACAAGAACCTAAGAATCCCATGCCCCTCACGTGAGGGACAACACCTTCGGCAGCCTTGTCCGCAACCCCCCAACAACAGTCGAAGTGTTCATATCGCCGAGGCTTCCAACATGGAATGTGCACTGCATGCCCGAGCCTGCCACTATGAAGAACTTTCCGGCGTCTCGACACTCGAGTTGTCCAGCTTCTACTTCGACGCCAGCCTCCCAGGCATCCACGACATCATCCACGACGTTGTCTGGGAGGAGATCAGGAAGCTACTTCCTGCCATCAGTTGCCCGGCTTTTATTTTGATTGCCAAGATTGTTTCGGAACAAGTTTGACAGGTATTTCAACCGAGACTTCTGCGAGCGAAGCGGCATCTGACAAACCGAGGGCAACTTACGCCACAATGGCACGACGACCGCCACCGGCTGCCCCTTAGTATTTAATGCCAATTCAATGAGACACTCTAACGCCGAAGCATTCCCGACATTGTGTGTAGGTCTGTGCTCAACAAAGTACACCGAGGAAAACGTAGGTGATGCAAATGTGCGACCGAAGACCACTTTGCTACCACTGCATGAAGCCGACCATGTCTACCAAAGCAGCCCGTACCAATGAATTGGTCTGTGAGGGTTCGTTCCAAATGACCCTCGATTACGTCTCGAGGAGCGACCACGGGAGATTAAGGATTACCTTCGGCGACCTTTGTCCCTGATGCCGAAGGTGCTGAATCGAAGGTTCTGAATGCCTGATTACCCCGTAGCTCCTCATGTTTATCACCTCAACAAGAGGTAAGCGGCGATGCAGTGACAGTTGATTTGGTGTTAGTTGTCGTCCAAGGACAATACCTAGTTATTTGCCGACACCATTCATCTGTGTCCATGCAATGAAGCACACAATTTCCAACTTTGAGGGAAAATGCCCCTGAGTGACTTGAAGGAATAGAATGGTTGGTTGCTCTCAAAAGTGAACTGCAAGCATCACCAGACTTGGATAGCAAACAAAAATTGTTGCCAGCTATCAAGTCAACGGTACAGCAAAAGGCACAGCCACGTAAGCAATACATGCCCGAGCTTGCTACATTGATGCCGAAAACTACCAGGAAAATTTTCGGATTAGAAGCCAGCCCTGCAGCTTCACTGCATCAGACGTCAGTGGCCGCACATGACGTATGATTACAAGACAGCATCAGTCGGTCAAAGTTGCCACTCGACCAAACTGAACACCGAAGTGCCAGGAGCGTCATCCGACAACAAGGTCCACAGGTACTACGACTGAACGCCTGACACGAGACTGTCGCAGAAAGAACTCGTTATTTAACCATTTACTAAGAATCAATAATTATGTAATCAAATGGAAATAGACATATTTGATACACTAACCAGATAAACATATTTCCGCTTGCCTTCATGCCTTGAGAGTCTACACACCGAGAATTGTGTCCACTGCACGCTCTGGACCTTACGAGGACACTCGCTTCTCTGACCCTTCAATATTAATTAAGGGGTCATACCAGACTGGCAGACTTATTGCAAGGGGCTGCACTCGTTCAAGCTTTCCTGAACATGTGGTGCATCCGAAAACCAACTCCAGTGATGTGAAAATGTTATTTATTAATTTATTCCTTCCAGGGGCCTTCGAAGGCATTGCAGAGAGGATACTTAAAACTATACACATGATAATAGCATTAAAGCACACTGCTGTAACTTGTTAATTGGAAAAACAAACACAACTCTGAGCATATAGTTTAATAGTATGTGTTGATGCATTGTTATATAGCATGACACTTCCTATATGTATGACACAATAGACCCTTTGCAGAACCTTATCAAGCAACACTACTGCCATCATTTTTTTCGGCGTAAAGCACATGAATGGGCCCCAGTTCAGGTTGAACGCTAATGCAGCATTCGAGTCCAATAGGTGCTGAGCCGAATTCACAGGGATGGCGGACATAACATCCTTGTCGAACAAATGCCCAAAGTATGAAAGCCTGGGGTAATTACAGTAGTAGCTAGTGTAATTTGTTTCATCAGAATTTGGCAGACGGCAAAGGCTACAGTCTCGGTGAGTCAATACACACATTGGACAGAGGCACATGACAACATATCATCAGAGTGCTCGTCTGCACAGATTTGTCACACACCTTCGCTCGGTCTCTCTGATTGGCTCGAGGGGGCTGTGCCGGTTGGCCTTTTCCAAGTTACGGTGATGCGAAGTATAGACAGCCCACACTTTTCAAAAGAGTCTATTGAAGAGACCGAAAGGAATGGTAGTCAACATTTTTCAACAAGACTGCTCTCCAGGCAAGGGATGAACAAAAATATGAATCATCTTATCCAGGTAATTAGAACAATTAAATAATTGACCGACTAATACAATGCACTCTTGATGGAAAAGAGTATAGCTGCAATAAATCCTACAAAACAGAAAAAATGCGCAGTTAATCTATGCATGCACCAAAACAGTTGTTCTTATCGCAAGTCGAATAGCTTTGAGGCAGGTGCCTGCAACGATTTATTCTTCCCCATACTCAATAAAACGCCATCCCTGGCGCCGACTCGTGTTATCAGGAGTGCGTCAGAAAAAAACGAGCGAAAGAGGCATGATAGCGAGCACGAAAGGCGCGCATGCGCAAAGCGCTGCTTCTTGGTGCGACGGCGCGCCGTCGGACGGCGCGGCGATGCATTTCGGCACGCGCTCCCGTGCCCCGCAAACTTTTGCTCCCGACTGTACATACATACCAGATTCCACGACAGAACATTATCGAAATATGTAGCTGCGCTTTTACGACCGTCTCCAAAGGCTGTTGAAGGCCTTATATAAATCATTGTATCATCCGTGACTTTCAGGTACGTCCTTAGCCAAAAGGTTTGAAAACCAGATAATCTTTGCCCATTGCAGCAGTGCAGCTGCAGTAATCATAGGCTTTATTTCTAGATTTAGAACGAAGCTGCTGCATGTATACATTTCATGTTATTGAGGTGTCTCATGTCGTGTGTGAATATCCAGCCATTAAGGATGTATTTTTGTTTCATTTACAGACAATGCCAAAATCAAAACGTACCCTACGGCGTCATATTTCTAATGCAGTCAGAGATAGTGTCAACTTAGTTACAGCGTCAACTTTTGACAATGAGCTCTCCCTGCAAACAAACCCTGTCCTGTCAAACCCTGTCTTGTCAAACCCTCAGAGAGGTTATCTGAATGCTGCACTCTCCTCCGAGTCGGAGACGTGCTCTGAGCAGGAATCGAGTGAAACAGGCGATCCCTCTTCACAAGACCAACTGGGGTCCATCTCGGATGATTCTTGCATATCCTTTGACTCTAGGGAACAGCAGTTTTCTGCTGACATAAACCACATCACTGAGGAACTGGTGCCAAGCACATCTGTATCAGTGAGTGCTACACAGAAGAATAGTGTTGAGAGCTTCAAAACAATGCTCCAGACATGGGCTATAAGACACAATGTAACTCATGAGTGCTTGACAGATCTTTTGAAGGTTCAGCGCACACACCCTTGCTTTGCAGAGCTGCCAGGGTGCTCTAGAACCCTTCTTCAAACACCTAGAATGTGTATGGGCATTGTGAACATAGGTGGCGGCCAGTACTGTCATTTTGGTCTCGCTACTCAACTTCAGCAAAGCCTTGAGAATGTCCAACACTTTCCCGGAGTTCTGAATTTGCACATCAACATTGATGGACTTCCCTTGAGGAAAAGTACAAAAGAACAGTTTTGGCCAATTCTTTGCCAGGTGGTTAACTGTGGACCAGGCATACCATTTCCAGTTGGTGTGTTCTATGGGCATTCAAAGGCTCTGAAAGCAAATGAATTCCTACAACCACTCGTAGATGACTTAAACGCGGCACTTGACTCCGGCGTGACCATTAGGGATGTGACCGTCCAAGTGAAGCTTACAGCATTAGTGTGTGATGCTCCAGCTAGAGCCTACATCCTACATATCAAAGGTCACTCGGGCTACTCAAGTTGCAGTAGGTGCACTACTGAGGGAGTCTCGCTTGGTAGGATGTGCTTCCCCGAGTTAGACGCCCCTTTAAGAACAAATGACAGTTTCAGGAGCCATGTTGATGAGGGTCATCACACTGGTGTGAGCATACTTGAGAAACTACCAATTGACATGGTAGCACAAGTCCCGCTTGACTACATGCATTTGGTGTGCATTGGTGTCGTGCATAAGCTGATGAGGGTCTGGTTTAAAGGACCAAAAGCCTGTCGGATGGGGTCAAATGTAAAGGATGAGCTCTCCACCAAAAGCGAAGCACTGCGGCATTTTGTTCCATCAGATTTTAGTCGTCGGCCTCGAAGTTTTTGGGATATGGAGATGTGGAAAGCAACGGAATTCAGACTTCTTCTGCTGTACACTGGTCCTGTGATCTTTCCATCCACAGTTCGATCAGACCTTCAGGCAAACTTTATGATTCTCCATTGTGCCATAACAATCCTGGCTTCACCAAGGCTTTCAAAGGAGCTTGTTGATTATGCTGAAAAGCTTCTGCGTTACTTTGTGGAGACCTGCAAGTCACTGTTTGGAACCGAATTTATTTCATACAATGTTCATGGGCTCTTGCACTTGGCAAATGATGTCAGGGCACACGGTCATTTGGACAGGTGGAGTGCCTTTGCATTTGAAAACTACATGCAAAACTTCAAAAGGAGTTTGAGGAAACCAGAAAAGCCACTAGAACAACTCTGCAACAGGCTAGCAGAAAAAAAAAATGCCGTTGCTTTCAAGGACAAGATCCGACCAAGCGAATCAATAAAATTTTCCGGGAAGCATGAAGACTTTCCACTGCCATCACACTGTCGGAGCCCTCAGTACAGAAAAGTCGACATTCCAGGAAGGTTCTGTATTGCAACAAACAAACGAGACAACACATGTACACTTCTGGATGGTGGCATCATAGAGGTTCACAGCATTGCATTTTCATGCTTGTCCAAGAAGCCAGTGCTTGTTGGAAGGAGGTACTCTGTAGTAGAGGATCTGTACGCATATCCATGCCGGTCGTCGCTTCTTAATATTTCTCTAGTTTCTTGCCCACACACAGTGTCATCATGGCCCCTACAAGATGTGGCGTTCAAATGTGTTCGACTGCCTCTGGGTGACAAGTTTGCAGTCTACCCACTGTTGCATCTCAATTGAGCTATGTTAGACGAGTTCTGGGATGCTATGTTTGGCTTTGCTGTTACCTTTTCCCAAAGGCCACAGGAGCGACGATGTCGCTGCTGACGTGTCCGATTGGTTAGAGTTGCGCACTGGTAGATGTCTTAAAATGCAACATTTCATCTTTCTCAGAGAAACCATTTATTATCGCAAAGTTTCCCGATGAAGAGAATGGTGTGGCACTCATACATGAGAGCTGGTTAGACGGGGACATCTGCTATTGGCCAAAGGACACTGGAAAGATTCAATCCTTGGTCAAAAACGGTGAGCAGCCGACGTCCGAGTGGCGGCGACTTCGATGCATTCCCATTGGATGGTTTGGTGAGTATTTACTCATAGATTCATAGATTATTCCATTTCCACTTAGTGTTATCAGTCACTGTGAGGCTAACAATTTATTTTATCTTGAATCAAGTCTGTATTAGCACAGATGCCAACTGGATGAATATGTTTCTTATGGTTTTTTTTGCCGCACCCGTGCACATGCTTTCACGAATGAAGCAATAAACTGTTTTTTTTATAATACTTAAAACAGAGTTTTAATAAGGCAGACTTGTGCCTACAAAATAAAAACAAAACAATTAACCCATACATCCTTTGACGGTGGTGGCACTACGCAGCCACGTGAAGTCCCTTTTGTAACCGCACTGCCTCCTGGCAGATTCGGTCTAGAAAGTTCGGTCCTCAAACATTCTGATCCCCAAGAAATGGTAAGATTTTCGATTTTACTAGAACATTACAGCAATGGGAAGAGGTAAAACGATAGCAGGTTTCAGGATTCGAGCCACGGGCGTGGAAGACGGGTTCATGCTGACTCAGCTGCGCTCGCGTCAACATGTTTGCTGTAGGCACTTTCAATTGGGGGCTTTTCTTGGTACAAGATATATAATGCCAAATTTGAACATGATGTATAACCATTGCATATACTTACGGCCTTTATGGAGCGACATCTAACTGCCATTCAATATTCTTCAGCATCATATGACCATGCACGGAAGAGGCTTCCTGAGGCTGAGGAGTTGTCAGACCTCTACAGTGAGATTGAACAGCCGAAGAGGCGGCGTAGGCGAGCCAGGCGCTATAGCACGGACTCAGACTCTGATGACAGCTACCAGTTTGCTGTATCCTTACCACTGCCATCGCCACCAGCATCTGCCTCGCCGTTGCATCCAAAGCAACGTCCTGATCGTAACACAGGTGACATAATTTTGTAAGCAACCGAAAATTAACCAAGTGTAACAGTTAATAGTCTTTTTTAATCACTGATTTTTTTTTTCTTGTAGAGCTACTAAACCGATCAACTCTATGTGGTACTCAAGACAGGAGCCACAACCAGGTCACAAAGGCCCGTCTAGGTCATTATTGCTTTTTATTTAATCCAAAAAATTGCCCTAGTTAAATGGAGTTGCACGTTGTATATCCTATGATTAATGCAGCACAATATATTGTTATTTTGTTAACCCAACTCGAAACAGAAACACCCATCTTTAAATTCTTTAGCTACCTTTATGCATAAAGATTGTTGCTGACAATGCATCTAACATACTCCAGAGGTCTGTCTTAATTTGAGTCGGCCTATAGTGTCAAGGAGGTTAGTCATTCCCTTGGGAAAGGTATAGAACGCTTCATGTGACGTGTGCTTTTTTCTTTATAGCATGACATTAAATATTAGTTAAAATATTTTCAGTGTGAATGCATCACGGGAGTATATTTAAAATGCATCACACTATAATAAATGGCTTTTTGTGGCCTCTGTTGAAAAGGAGGTTGGCAATGTTGCTTCTGCATTTTTCCAATCTTATCAACTTCATTGTATCATGGCATGAATGCTGAGATTCAAGACGTCATGATTTGCTTTAGAAAGGTAAAAAGTTTCTTTTTCTTTGTTTGGCATGTAGATCAGTTCAGGAGACACAAGACTGCCAGATCAGAGTCAGCTCTTCAGTGCAGAGATCCTCAAGCAAGTGACAGCGCCATGCCAAGTATGTATTGGACTGGCCTTATAACCCTTCCGCTGTTGGCCTTCATATTTCGTAGAAATATACGTTTCTACTGTATTCTGATACAGCAACCAATAGTGTGGCCAGATAGGAATTGGGGATGTGATGGAACACAGGTTTAGTAACTGCCGAGGCAAACAGACAGCTGCAACAAAAGAAACTACAGATAGAATTTAAATAGAGCTAACTAAAACTATGGTCATTTTGTTTGTTTTCTTTGCAGGCTGTTCCACAGCAGGAAGTGATTTCAGGGCAGGAACCCCCCATTTTAGTGCTGCAACAGGGTTGGTGCCACTCCAAAATGAGCCTCAGGCAACTCGTTCCGATCATGTCACTCCAAGTAAGCAAAATGAGAACTTGCTGTTGCTGTAGCTCCTTTGTGTTCTGAGGATTTGCAGTCATCTAGGCCATAGCACCATAAAAGTTAAAGATTATTAATTAGTCTATCCCAGCCATGCCCTGCTATATAATATCTTTCTGCTCAGTCAAGGTTTTACAGGTATTGTCTACCCGGCCATGTCCTGCTTTATTAAAGGAGCTGTGCAACAGTTTCAGTGCTTTGCTTAACTAATGTGGAAGTTGGTGTCTCGGCATTTCTGAAGTAAAGAACAAAAAAAACGCATTCGCCTGCATGCCCTAGTTTTAATTTTAAAAATGGACAAAGATTGAGGTTTTCGGCGCCTCTCAACTCATTCACTATCTTCCGAGTCAAGTGCACTGTGACGTCAATGGGAAGGCGCGGGGTTCCGGTGAAGCTCTCTTTAGAGCCATCAGTGAGCGGCGAGAACTCATCCGCTTGCTCGTGACCACGTGCTGACGCGCGCAGAGCGAACAATATGGTGAGAGGAGGAAAGTTTCATCACTACCCATCCCGCCATGTCCCCCTCCCCCTCCGGCTTCTGGCGGCTGTTCGCGGTACCAGGTAGAGCCGACGGTTTTGTGGACCTTGGATAGATGGCGCCACTAAAGCTCCATATAATAAAAGTTTTGTCGATGATACGAGGGTTTTGGCGCATTTATATTTATGTTGGAACAACAAGATTTATAGAAAAGTTACCTTTTATCGAGCAGGTATTCGCACAACTTTCTATCTTTCTACAAGATTCCCCATTGACGTCATGCCGCGTGTTTCTCATGGCCGCCTCAAGCGGCTGCAGTTCAGAAACATCTTGATTGTGGTATCAGAATACTTTTACCTTCGAACAAAAGATTCCTTCGTACCAAATTTGCAGCAAAAAGTGGAACTGAGAAAACTGCATTCAAACATTGAACTCTTTTACTTTGTCACTGCCTCACAATCTGTTGAAAATATTTTATATCAACGGAACTATTTGGCACATAGTTATGAAATTTAGTGTATGGGTGTATAATTAGTTTCTAAAACCAAAAACCTCGAAATTTAAAACGGAATTTTTTCAAAAAAATTTTGAAACTTAGGCCCATGTCCCCTCTTAAGCTTTTCCAGCTCTTCACTGACTTTCAAAAAATTTAAACCCCTCATTGTTACAGATTTTTTCAAGGAGATCTTGCGCCTACTGCACATCATCCAATTCAAGCTGAATGAACATGCACTGAAGTTAGAGTTGCTAACCACCCTGGTCTCGAACAGCAACGACGAGAACATTCTTGTCTCAGGCGAATCCTTTGGGCCCTTCAATGAACTCGCAACGTTTTTAGACTTTGATGCTTCTGTGGCAAGCTCCGAAGAGAAAAAAAAAACGGCTGGTGAGTCTACTTATATAACTTAAGTCTGCTCTTCGACTGCTATTGACAATTTACCCTATATAAAGTGAATAGCCACTTGCACTAACCTTCATTTTAACATATTTGTAAGCACTAAAAACATATCTGCACAGTAGGAGCGTTAAACGGGTTAGAGCAGTTTTAATCAATAGGCCAATTATGGTTTTAGTGGCTTTGAGTATACTGCACGTGGCATACAAGTGAACAAAAATGCACCTTGTGCATGAGAATGTTAGCACGAGCTCGTAAAAGATGAGAATATAAAGAAAAGAAGGCATGCTCAATGGGAAATGCCAAGAATGCTCAAGAAGTGCGCTTTCAGAATGCACCATGAGTAGTGGATACATGGCCAACTAGCGGACAATCTTGCTCACTGTATTGATTGTATTTATTTTAGGGTCCAGCTCTATTGATTCATAGCTTTCATTTTGTAAGATTATGCTGAAATAATGTACGTTAACAGCCGACGACCAGACTCGAGGTTCTGCAAGGCAGAAGATCCTCCTCACCATGGGGAAAAAGAAACCGGCAGCAGTGGGCAGGGTAGAAGGGTGGAGAGGAGCAAGCGGGCAGAAGTGGAAAGCGCGAACTGGTCGTCGGCCTTTAAGCAAGAAAATTATTTTTGAAAGATATTGGGGTGGTTATGCCGGATGTGTAGTCAAGACGGAAGGGCGTTAGTCTCCCATGTTTGCTACTTGGAAGAGACCTTGTGTCCATTCATTCCGCTAGTAGATTGTGCAATCGCTTCATCTTTTGCCTAGCAGCTAACATTGAAGCAGATGGATCGACTACTATTTGTAATGTGAATGCATTGCAGTGTAGCGGAAAAAGCAGTGGTGAACTAGAATACCTTGGGCTTACAATTCAAATAAAGTCAGAAACTGAACTTTTATGGGAAGTAAAACAACCATAGAACTCCTATTTTAGACAATTTTAAACTTATAGCTGAATACTAATATGGGGTGGAATTCCGTAGTTTTTCATGCTGAAATTACATGGTTGTTCAATGTCAGATGGTCTCCTGGGGCAAGTACGGGGGTTCTTCTGGACCTGACATGACAAGGAGAATTCTCGTTGGACTGCTTTCCGACGACATCGCTGTTCAGTACAGCTTCAAGGGGGGTAAAGGCAAGCGCAAGTTTAACGAACTCGCCTGCTGGGAAATCATTAAAGGTAGGCCTTTCAAAACCATCTTTTCCATTGTGTTAGTATGTATATTAACAGTAAGCGTGCACAATATGAATGCCAATTTACCTGCAAATGTGAATGCTTTGTTACGGAAGTGTTACTGTTGTGCTTTTAAGCAGGATTCACACAAGGGACAAGTCCCCACCAACTGTGGGGAATGTGTACCGCTTTACGAAAACGTCGCCCTTTCCTGCACTAGCGTGGTGACATTGGCACTTCTCCGGGGATGGAAGAGCATTTTATTGGGCGGCATGAATGATACCCGCTTGATGATGGAAGTCGTCATGCTTAGTGGTGTTTGGTTAGTTCATCTGACAGCATGACACAGCATGTTCTCTAGGGTGAGAATGGCTGCAGCAAAATCGGTGCTGAGAGGAGCCGACAAATTTGCTTCTCAAGCTCCCCGTTTGGTTTCCCGACACTGTGAGGGAGAGGCTAGATGGGATAGAGCACTGCATATGCTACTGAAGGTAGCAGGGTTGCGCATTCCTTTAATCAAGGGCTTCGCTGACGGATCGACCCTGTTCCTTGCCTTCTCCAACAAAATTTGCAGACATCCATCAGTTCGAGAGAAATGAGCAAGGCAAGCGCTCTTCGTTGGTCGAAGCTGGTCACGTGTGTGAAATTGTCTACTGGTCACGTGTGTGAAATGTCTACTTGAAATTGTCTACTCGACCTGGGTCGTTTTTAACTAAAAATGCGGCAACTGTATTTGCACCAAGATTTAAGTTTAATAAGACTGTGTTTATAAAACATCCACATTATGTTAATATTAGTCTTAACACTGCACATTTAGTAGTAACAAGGGAAAGAGGTTTTTTTTTCCCGATTCCCCATGCATTCCCAAACGGAGTTCTGTCTAACGTGGCAGTCGCTGAGATGTCGAACTCAAGTTTGCGCTACTCACTTCCTTCAGGGGCATATATGGTGGTGGCTCTGTGGTTCGGAGGTCCCGACGGCTGTTGACTTCATGCTTTCGTATTGTTTCAGAAACTGTTAAAGCGCAGGGTAAGCTTTCTGGTGCCACGGATTATGATGTCGAACAAACAGTTAAGTCATGGTTGGCCCATTCAAAGGAGAGACTGGACAAAGCAGCCAAAAGTATGTTAAAATATATTTTTTTGATATTAATAATTATTCAATCAACATATTAAATGTGACAAGCATTTAATACAGCTGTGATATTAATCTGTAAACTCATCTTTCAAACATATTTTTTATGACGGATAGTCTTTGGTTTTATCCAGTTAATTACAAGTTAGATTAATGTAAAATACTTGTCATGTATCCGCTGGCGGCCAAGAGATGGCGTCACCGGGCACACGCGCTTATCCCGCGCTTTTCAAGAGCACGGACCTGGGCACGGGACGGGCGCTCGGGCATTGCAATTCCAGGCGCCATTAAAAGCACATCTGGACGCTCCTCGGTGTCGTGGCTTGAGCTTCGCCCGGGATACATAACATTTTGGCGACGAGTCGGTCAACATACAAGAACTACAGCGGGAACAATGACCACCCAAGGCAAGCTGGAAGAATTCAACCTGACAGCTTGGACATCCTGGGCCGATCGTTTTGGTTTCTACTGCGAAGCAAACGAGATAGCTGAGCCTTCAAAGAAGAGGGCTCTACTGCTTACGCTTTGCGGAGCACAGACATACGAAGTAGTGCGAGCACTCGTTGCACCGAGGACACCAGGAAGCGTCCCTTTCGACGAACTCATGGAGATGCTGCAGAAGCACTTCGACCCCCGGCCGTCAGAGCTCTTCAGCAGAACGAAGTTCCAGCGGAGAGACCAGCAGCCCGGGGAGTCCATTGCAACCTACGCGGCAGCTCTAAAGAAGTTAGCCGCTGACTGCAATTTCGGGATACTGGCGACACAGACGGCTGCGCCATCGCCCAGCTCCACCGGCGTGGTTTCGGCCGCTACTGGAACGACCGCCGACCCCGCCAGCGCGGACGCCCCTGGAACTCCGGTCACCGTGAGTCCACCAGTACCCAACCCTACCATGCTGCCTCTGGACGTAATGCTCAGGGATCGGTTCGTGTGTGGCATAATGGATGAGCACCTACAGCAACGTCTCTTTGCGGAAACCAACCTAACGTTTAAAAAAGCATACGACATGGCTGTAAGGACAGAAGGTGCGGCACAACATCAAAAGGACATGAAAGCCCAAAAATCGAAAATTTACGCAGTTAAAAAAGCACAATTACCTCCTGCGTACCTGGAACAGAAGGAGAAAAGACAGTCAGAACCACTGACATGTTACCGATGCCTAGAACAGCATTCGGCCTTCTCGTGCCAGTCACGAAATACACGATGTAACTTCTGCCACAAGAAGGGGCATGTCGAAAAGGCTTGTTTCAAGAAGTCAAGGGTGCATCACCAATCGCAGACGACACACCACGTGGAACAACACGAGGAAACTCTGCATTCTGATGATGATCTTTCGGACAAGTCATGGAACCTGCACGAGCTGAATGCAGTACGGGCATCCAGCACGCTGCCAAAGTTCATGGTCACCCTGAAGATCAACAACCGCGAGCTGGAATTGGAGGTCGACTCGGGAGCTGCTTGCTCAATCATTAGCGAAGCCACGTATCGTCGGTTGTGGCCCAAGAACCCTCCAACGTTGAACCAGGACGGGCTGACCCTTCACACTTGGTCAGGCGAGGGTTTACAAGTCCTTGGAACGGCGAACGTGCATGTCAGACATAAATCTAAAGACTACATCTTGCCATTGGTCGTCACCCGCGGAACAGGCTGCAGTCTTCTGGGAAGAAACTGGTTTCAAGACCTCAAGATTCGGGTCAGTGGAATTCATCATCTAGCCACCAAGGACAGCGTTGCGAATATTTTGAAGGCTCATGAGGATGTTTTTGACGCCAACATCAGGGGGCATAGTGGTCCACCAGTAAACCTGGAACTAAAAGAGGGCGCTACTCCTCATTTCCTCAAATCACGACCCGTGCCGTTCGCACTACGTCCGGCGGTAGAGGCCGAATTGAAAAGTCTCGAGAGCCAAGGTATTTTAGAACCAACACAACATTCCGAGTGGGCTACACCTGTGGTGGTGGTCCGGAAGAAAGACGGGACCATTCGACTATGCGGTGACTATCGAAGTACAGTAAACAAGGAAGCGAAAACAACCGTGTATCCTATGCCAACAATTTCAGAAATCCTAGCCAATTTGCAAGGAGGATTGGTATTTTCTACTCTAGACCTCACGCAAGCGTATCAGCAGCTACGGTTGACAAGAGATACAGCTGATCTGTTAACCATTAACACTATAAAAGGCCTATACAGAGTCAAGAGGATGCCGTTTGGGATCGCCGCGGCACCAGCGATTTTCCAGCGATTCATGGAAACAGTACTTGCTGGAATTCCGGGGATCGGGGTATACCTCGATGACGTGATCATCAGCGGTGCGACTGCAGCCGAACACCTGACTCGACTGGACACAGTACTGACGCGACTCGCTCAGGCTGGACTTCGACTCAAGAGATGTAAGTGTCGTTTTGCAGTTGAACGAGTAGAATACCTCGGCCACACCATTGATGCTGCTGGAATACACCCGACAGATGAAAAACTGAAAGCCATCAAGGAAATGCCCGAGCCAACATGCCGAACAACGCTACAGTCGTTTCTGGGACTTTTAGCCTTTTACGACCGGTTTTTAGCAAACCGGGCAACAATTGCAAAGGACCTCTATGCACTGCTGGAGAAGGACGTCCCTTGGACATGGCAAGAAAAGCATCGGCAAGCTTTTCGACAGTTAAAGCATGCCATCGCACAGCGAACTGTTCTCGCGCATTACGACGAGAACAAAAGCCTGATTGTGTCATGTGACGCATCACCCTACGGCGTGGGAGCGGTATTAGCTCAACTCGATGCCGATGGCAACGAAGCTCCAATCGTTTTCACCTCGAGAACGCTCGGCAAAGCCGAAAAGAATTACTCACAGTTGGATCGTGAGGGGCTGGCAATTGTTTTCGCCATGGACCGTTTTCATCGCTACGTCGCGGGACGTCACGTGACGATTACAACAGACCATCAACCGCTGTTGGGGATCATGGGCCAAAAATCTCCAGTACCAACTGTGCTTTCGCCACGGATGACACGCTGGTGTGTTAAGCTGACCGCTTACGATTATAATATGATCTACAGGGCAGGAAAACGGAATCAAAACGCCGATGCTTTAAGCAGACTGCCATTGCCGGAAACTGATGACGAGCAACATCCTCCAGGCGATGTCTTGATGTTGGAAGCGCTCACGAAACCTCCCATGACTGCAACAGAACTGGCGGACAACACAGCAAAGGATCCCATACTTGCTAAGGTGTTCCAAGCGGTCAAACATGGCGAAGTGAGAAAGCTGGACGGTGATCGCTTCGTCGCATACAAGCTCAAGGCAGCAGAATTGTCAATTCATCGTGGTTGTCTCATCTGGGGATCGCGCGTGGTAATTCCCGCGTCAATGAGATCTGAGGCCATAGCACTTCTACATGCGGGGCACCGGGGCATCGTTGCCATGAAAGCATACGCTCGGAGCTACTTGTGGTGGCCTGGGATCGACAAAGAGATTGAACTCTGTGTAGCTCAATGTGAAACGTGCCAAGTGAACCAGAGAGCAGTATCAAAGGCCGAAAACCTAACCTGGGAAAGACCTACGGCACCATGGGACACCATCCATCTAGATTTTGCCGGGCCGATCGAGGGACAAGTCTACCTTATAATTGTTGACGCGTATTCCAAATGGCTAGAAGTTCGCGCAGTTCGGAATATGGCGTCGTCTACGGTTATTTCAGAACTGCGCAGCGTGTTTGCAACCTTTGGCATACCACGGAAAGTAATGTCCGACAACGGGACCGCCTTTGTATCAGAAGAAATTAAGAGCTTTTACTCCTCCAACGGCATCGCAGCGGTCACTAGCGCCCCTTATCACCCTGCAACTAACGGCCAAGCTGAACGAATGGTCCAGCAGTTAAAGAAGGCGTTGGCGAAGGGCGGAAAAGGAACGTTGGACTGTACGTTGGCACGCTTTTTATACAAGCAGCACACTACCGTACACACAGCGACGGGAAAAACTCCCGCGTGGATGCTACTTGGCCGCGAGTTGCCGTCTCCGCTCGAGAGACTCCTCCACGGACCCAACTATGAACCCACGAGTTCGACAGTCCCGGAAGAATTTTTGGTGGGACAAGCAGTGTGGATTCGCAAGTTTCCAAGTGGACGCACATGGATGGCGGGTACCATCACTAGACGCCTGGGCCCTCGGTCGTGGATGATCGACACCGATCAGGGGCAGACACGGCGACATATGGAACATATACGACCTAGAAGTTCCATGCCACCGCGCAGAACGACTACTACACCTTCACCTGTGTGGGACTTGGCCATGGAGCCTTGCGAGGTGTCAATCACCCCTCAAGGGCCGGCTACTACTCCTACACAACCTACAGGACCTTCATGTTCCACCAAGCCGATCATACGCACCAGCACTCGCGTGCGACGGCCGCCAGAAAGATTCGGTTTCTCAGCCAAGTGAGGGGGAAGTGTCATGTATCCGCTGGCGGCCAAGAGATGGCGTCACCGGGCACACGCGCTTATCCCGCGCTTTTCAAGAGCACGGACCTGGGCACGGGACGGGCGCTCGGGCATTGCAATTCCAGGCGCCATTAAAAGCACATCTGGACGCTCCTCGGTGTCGTGGCTTGAGCTTCGCCCGGGATACATAACAATACTATTTGCAGAATTATCAGAATCAATGCTTTTAATGTTTTGTAATGGAAACAACAAGAAAGTAGATCTGCAAGAGTATCAAATCATTCTATTTGTTCTTTAAGTGTTAGCTGTATACTGGAACATGTTTGAAAAATAAGTCTCTCAAGCATAAAGACACTATATCGCTATTGTTAGTGAATGAATCCTCAAAGTTTACTGGAATACTGATATGCAGTACTGATTAAAAATTGCAGCCCAGCATTACGTGAAAATGTTTCAAAAATTTGTTTCTGGAAATCATTGTTTTGTTTTTAAGTCACTCGTTTTCCAACTGCAACAAAGACAACTTTTGAACCTCATATTAATCAGTTACTTGACAGGTTAGTTCCAAATGTTTCTGGGAACAAAGGGTACAGGGATAGCCCACTAAAGGTTCCTTTGTCCTTCCTTACTTTAAAGAAGTTGGTATGTCTGTGCCACCAAGCCCGACTGCCTAGCATGTCTTCCGCAAGCAGGTAGCTCCAGAGGTAAGGGATGCTTTTGACAGAAACTGCCAATATTTTTGTTTCTCACGCGAGAGTTCTAGTCACTGTGCAATATGTTTATTTGGAGCCAAACAGTCTCAATGGTTATCTATAAGTTGGCAGGTCTATGGAAACGAAATGATTGATGGAGATTAAGTGTTCGGTGATGTTCTGTTTAAAAGTCCTTTCTTCGCTTACTTTCTTTTCAGATTTTGGTGTTACTTCTTCGCCATTAGCCCAATACAGGAGCAGGTAGCTCCAGAGGTAAGGGATGCTTTTGACAGAAACTGCCAATTTTTTTTTTTGTTTCTCACGCGAGAGTGCTAGTCACTGTGCAATATGTTTATTTGGAGCCAAACAGTCTCAATGGTTATCTATAAGTTGGCAGGTCTATGGAAACGAAATGATTGATGGAGATTAAGTGTTCGGTGATGTTCTGTTTAAAAGTCCTTTCTTCGCTTACTTTCTTTTCAGATTTTGGTGTTACTTCTTCGCCATTAGCCCAATACAGGAGCAGGTAGCTCCAGAGGTAAGGGATGCTTTTGACAGAAACTGCCAATTTTTTTTTTTGTTTCTCACGCGAGAGTGCTAGTCACTGTGCAATATGTTTATTTGGAGCCAAACAGTCTCAATGGTTATCTATAAGTTGGCAGGTCTATGGAAACGAAATGATTGATGGAGATTAAGTGTTCGGTGATGTTCTGTTTAAAAGTCCTTTCTTCGCTTACTTTCTTTTCAGATTTTGGTGTTACTTCTTTGCCATTAGCCCAATACAGGAGCAGGTAGCTCCAGAGGTAAGTCATGCTTTCGACATTGCTGGCGCTTTTTTCCTCTCGTGAGAGCCCCAGTCACTATAACTCAGCAAACGTTAATAGGGAGACACATTTCCCAAATATATAACAGTATTGAAGATGGTTGCTCCATCGTCAAACTTTTTAATAAGCCAAAAATTTACATTTTGTATATTTGTTTTGTACTGAGTATAGTATTCACAAGCAAAGCTGAAGTATCCTACTCATACTAATAGAGGGGATACTTATGATGCCTCTGCAACCTCCAAACCCTAATGTTTATTAAGGTGGCGATACAGGCGAGTTGTTTCATGGCAAAAACAAGGAACTGCACAAAAACACAAGACAAGTGGAAGAAGTAGACTGGACAAGTGCTGACTGACAACTAAAAGTTTATTGAAAACACAAAAAACACACGAGCAAAAGAAACCACCATCAAAAACACAAAAGCAATCAAACAACCAAAAAAGCATGCAGTAAAAGCAAGCACGATAGACCATCATCAATGAAAGCTTGAAAATTATAGCTCTTTGTTTTTTTGTTTGTGTTTGCTTTTGGATTTTGGATGGTGGTTGCTTTTGCTAGTGTGTTTTGTGTTTTCAGTGAACTTTAGTTGTCAGTCAACGCTTGTTCCGTCTACTTCTTCCACTTATCCTGTGTGTTTTTTGCGCTGTTTCTTGTTTTCCTAATGTTCAGTTGTAAACGCGAAACATTTCTGGTCGAACCCTGTAAATGTCGATCAGTGGGTCGGTCGTACCACATAAAAACAATATAGCAGGCAAAATATTAGGCTATGGTTATTAGGCAAATTATTTGGCTATGGTTATTAGGCAAATTATTTTCCTAAAACTAGCGGGCAAAAAAGAGTCCGTAATCTAAAGGGAAAAGAATTTCACAACACATAGCTTGCATGTAATCCGCGCCAGTTATGGTACGAATACCAAACAGACGACGGGCGCTGTATATTTTTTTTAGAACCAGAGACGCGCTAAATAATTTATACAGATTCCGCAGAGCAGTTGCACGCACTAATAATACCATTGTCCTAGGTCTTAGGCACGTGGCTATCATCTTAGTGTAAGGCATGAATTTGCAATTATTGTACTAAAACTGTAAAATGGTTTGCATTTCAACGAAAATCTAAGCAGCAATTTCGGCAGATGTTTTTTCAAGTGGTTATATTGACATAAAACCAAGTGTGAGGAAATGTCATTAAGAGTTTTTTTTTTTTTTCAGCGACATCTTTGAAGAATTTTTACGCCTAAGACGTTGTTACTAGTCATACGTTTAATAAAGCAACTTGGGAAAGATCGGTGCACTGTCCTGGTATTTCCTTAAAATGTACTACAGTCATCCGAAAAGATTTGTCACGTGGCTCCATAGGATATGCTGGGACCTCCTTAAAATGTCCTCCAGTCATCCATAAAGATCTGTCATGCAGCTCCTTAGGATATGCTGGGACCTCCTTAAAATGTCCCGCAGTCATCCTTAAAGATTTGTCACGTAACACCCTGGGATAAACTCAAAGTGGCCATTTCGATATCCTGAGAATGTCCCTGGATTATCTTTGCATATATTCGCATTTCCCAGGGATATCCAAATATCTTGAAAGGATCACCCAGGGATGTACGTCGAATGTACTTGTGTTGTCTGGGGTATTGAGGCCCCGTACTGCATGTGGCTCAGGGTGCCGCCTGCACCAGATTTGCATTCAGTAATCGCAAAAGAAGGACCAAGCACGTTGGGAATGTCAGCTTTTGACGAGCTCCAGCAGTCACGAAAGCGTTCTGTTGAAAGACTGGACGCAGATGGGCCTCCCATCGCGTCTTATTTGTTGCCGGTAATAATGTTACTGTTCATCTGGTTGACCTACTTATTTAGGGATGGCGTGCACATCCATACCATAGCAGAATTGCTAAGCAGTTCTGCTACAGGTTGATCGCGAAGAGTTGTACTATTCCGTAATGTGCATCTTGGCGTGACAACAAATAAGTGTGCCTCTCTGTTCTACTTCCCCTTTGGTATGCAACCGGTTGGATATTCTGCTATGTTTTGATCAGAAAGCCACTGCAAGACAGGCATTATTGATGTATATTATCCAAAAGAATGCTTGAGCATGAGACACAAAGTAAAAAAATACCTTTTTATGCGTCTGCTCTTTATGCTTTCGCATTCTCCGGCTCGCCCACTCTTCTTATGGTTACTGCTTTGTTGGGTGTAAATTTTCCAACACAGGTGTCCGATGTCTGCGACTGATGGCTTCTACCTACGTGCAGCAAAGAGCAGGCCTGCATTTTTTCCAAGACAGCAGTAAAACATTAAGAGTTCTGGGGAACTGCAGCGACTGGGTCACCGATGTCATTCCACTTCCTGCACTGCACTCTGCGTGGATCAGAAGGCCAGCGCATGCCCTCTATGAGTTGTCACCAGCCACAGTAAGTAGGGCCTGGAGCCACGTTACGCGAGTGGGATGCTTGTCACCTGGGTGACGTCAGTGCCGTCGGCAGGGCTATGACGGTGGTCTGCGATCACAGACCGCCAATCACCATTGCGCTGTTCCTGGATTAACTAGCTGCTCTTGAGAAAAAACAAAGTGCTTAGAAAAGAGTTATGGTGTCCGCTTTTTCATAGCTCCAGCTGTCGCAACAGGCATTTTGTCGAAAAAGCAACATCTATGAATGAGTAGAAGGCGCTGAATGACCGCAAGGGGCCTTCACTTCTGACCGAGGGGGTCAAGATTGTCCCGTTTCAACAGAGGCACCTTTTGAGGGGAAATAAAGGGCTTGAAAGTTTTCTACCTCGACAAGGTGTGGGTTATGGCAGGACCAATTTTCTCAAAGGTGCGGGTAGAACCTTCGTGTGTGGTGGCACGAGGCAGTCATTGCTTAAACTGGCTTAAAACATGACGACTGGACCGGTCAAGCGTGGCATGCCTGAGAATGGGACAGTAGACGGCTTTTATGTACAAACTTTAGACTTCATTCACCCCTTAGCTGACAGGGCGGTGGAAGCTATATGCTCCGTGAACCAGTCAATTGTCGGTCTTGCATCACTTGTCATGCCCTTTGCTCATACACATGTGCAGAGGCTAAGGGAGCATGCCTACAACATCTCATCGATGATTTCTGGTCACCTTGGCATACATTGCCGTGACTGCAGGTGCCAAGCCTTGGTTTCAACTGTGTGAGATTGTTAAACGTCATTGGGACCAGCTGACACGCGAAATTCTTGAGGCTTTAGAAATAGAAAGATTAGGCGACATGTGTGTCAGCAGTCCTTCTGTTGCTTTATCGAGAAAGAAGATCAATTTTTTGGCCGCTTGATTGGTTTGGTTTTAGTGTGTGCCTTCTATATGTCTTTTTAGAGGCGATACTTCGTTTTTCGTGCTTTTGTTTTGTGTTTTTTAGGCTGATTCTCTTTTTCTCCTGTTCTCAACTGTGCGTGTATATATTGCACTGTTGCGTCCAATAAAATTTAGTTGCGAGTCAGCAATCTGCCTGTGTCTTCCTTCATCCAGTTCGTCGTCTTATTGCGCTGTTTTTATCTTTTAAGCGTGTCAAACCAACTCGCCCAGGCTTCAACCTTAGTAGTTTTCAGTTCGAAATTTATATTGTCAGTGGTAGCCACATAGCTTCAATTGTCAATGCTAACGAAAAATCCTAACTAGCACCCCCGTGCATCAGTATTTTGTCTTCTAGCCTAGAGCGTTCATCTGTTTTCCAGCTAAGATGTTTGGACTACCGGTTGGCTACGAATTTTTCGTTTAAAATTTGAGAAGTGTTTGATTTCAACGGTTACCCAGTTAAGTGAATGTATTCACGACTTCTGCAAATCTAGTGATGCCGGGGGACAAACGGACGCAATATTTCTAGATATGTCGAAGGCTTTTGATCGAGTCCCGCATAAATACTTGACAAAAAAACTTAAATTAATTGGAGTCAGCCCGGAATTGGTTAATTGGATAAGTGCATACCTCAAGGAAAGAAAACAATTTGTTGAAATAAATAACACGGCATCTGGCGTTTTACCAGTATCATCAGGAGTCCCACAGGGCTCCGTTTTGGGTCCGGTCTTATTTTTAATATATATTAATGACATTGCGCAAACCATTGACGATTCTATTACGGTACGATTATTTGCCGATGACTGTCTACTTTACACAGATATTAAAACTAGCGAGGATCAAACTAGTCTGGACAGAGCTCTACAGAAAATTGGGTCATGGTGCCAAGAATGGGGGATGTTAATTAATATTGACAAAACTGTGCTTCTAAGGATATCAAATAAGAAAAATGTTCTCCCTTATGTATACACAGTTAACGGGTTTCCTTTAAGAGAAGTGAATAGTTATAAATATTTGGGTGTAACAATTGAAAATAACTTAAAATGGGGGAGCCACGTTAACAATATCTGCTGTTCCGCTAAGCGTACCTTAGGATACTTGAAAAGGAATTTTAGGTATGCAACTATGAGTGCCAAGCTCATGGTCTACAAAACAGTCATACGACCAGTATTAGATTACGCAAATGTAATATGGGACCCCCATCAAAAAAATCAGATTCAGAAATTAGAGAACGTACAAAGACTTTCCGCTAGGTACATACTTTCAAAATATAGACGAACCGAATCTGTCACTGGCATGTTAAAACAGCTTGACTTTATACCAGTTTCTGAGCGGCGCAGGAATGCTCGACTAAAGCATATTTTTATGATGTATCATGGTTTTTTCAACTTTGACTATACCCTGTATTTGAAACCCCGTATAACTCGCATTCTAAGAAATAGCCATTCTAAAATGATCCAGCCTTTTCAAAGTAGAGTTAATGTATTTCACTGTTCTCTCTTTCCTAAAACAATAGATGAATGGAACCTTCTATCGCAGGAAATTGTGAACTCAAGTTCCCCAGTAGAGTTTTTAAATAATTTGAAGCGCTTGCAGAACTAGTTTTTTTTTTTTTTTTTACTATTGAGTGGTGCATTCCGTTTGCTAGTTTAATAATGTTTTCTTTGTAATATGATTGTAAACTACACTTGTTGATGCGGTGTTTCTTGTTTTCCTGCTGCTGTTTATTTCTGATCATATTTTGTCTCCTGTTATGTGTGCGGTGTTTTTGTTTTGCTGCAGTGTTCAGTACCGTACTTTTTTCTTTTTTTACCCTCTCCTGTAATGACCCCAAGTGGGGTTAACAGTATCTTGAAATAAATAAATAATAAATAAATATAACCGTTTTGCCACTTCGCACTTTCGCCGTAATTGCTTGTCCTTCAGCAATACTCATGCGATGTTTCAGTGGCCGCGTTCACTGTAGTGAGAAAGGTATTAGAAGTGGTGTTTTTGTTTCCTTTGCTGTTGCCGAACAGCCAGTTCCTATGGGGGAAGTAGTGTTGCCTCTTCTGCGTCCAATAACAATAAGCACCAACGCTTGATTTGTGACATGCGCTTCACGCAAGCATAGAATTTAAAGAGACACTTAGAGTCGATCCACGACAACGCAACTGCAAAGGGAAAGCGCACCAGGCTTCCTTTTAATCGTCACCCTTTGTATGCGACCAGTGCACTGCTGTTCTGGTCTCGTTTCCTTTCCATGCAGACATGCTACACCACTTCAAAGAGCAGCACGGGTTTGTTGCAAAGCGTCTGACTTCGCAGTTCAACTTGAGTGAGGGCGAGTATTATCAGCGCTCGCTTCATTACATTTGTCCTCCAATTAATATGGGCTCAAAATCGGAACTTTAAACTGAAACCTTGCACTTCATGTGCAACTGTTCACCAACACACGACCCAATACAAATTGGAAACATTGTCTTCTTGCTTTATATTATTTTGCATATTCTTATATGTTTCATTTTGGGACCATTGGCGTTTGGCATACAAAAAGCTTGAAAATTTCAATACTTTTTCTTTTCCTACATTTTTCATGCATTTTGCCTCACCTTAATTCATGCCATTCATCTGCACGTCTCTAAACAGTGTTCAGAATCCATAAGCTACAAAGCATTTCTTTTGTGTGTGTGCAGTATTTCTTACAATGTTAATGTTGACGCTTTGCTCTGTGTGGCAAATATACAGTCGTGACTCCTGAACGCTAACTTCCCTCATTTCTAGCCTCAGTCTGCTATTTTTTCAGACAAGGGAGGAGCCCTTCTATATGATATGTTTGTTGTGGCAGCCCCTACAGCTTTGTGAAGCTTGTGGCAGCAGTCATGTTGAGCTCATTGTTAAAGGAGCTGTGCAACAATTTCAGGGCTTTGCTTAAATAATAGTGGAAGTTGATGCCTGACACTTCTGCAGTGAAATACAGAAAACAGATT